GAGCCACTGATGGAGAAGTTAATACAGGGCCCAGTATAAAACCTTTGAGGGCACCACTAGTGACAGACCTCCAGCTAGACCCTGAGCTACTGATGATGACCCTCTGGGATCTGCTGTTCAGCTGGTTCTCAATCCACCTCACTGTCCACTCATCCAGGCCTCACTTCCTGAGTTTAGCTTTGAAGCTGTTGTGAGACAGTGTTGAATGACATCCTGAAGCTGAGATAGACAGTATCCACTTCTCTCCCCTCATGCATCCAGGTAGTTGTTTCATTGTAGAAGGCAATCAGGTTGGTCAAGCATGGTTTCCCTTTGATGAATCCATCACCTTCTTGTCATCCATGTGGATAGGAAACTGACAGAGATAGGATTAAACAAACACTTCTTCCAAGGGAGGTCAGACAGCACACAAAGGCTTTGCTTCAGGGCAACACCAAGTTAAAAGGCATTGAAAAACATCCTTGGGAAGGGGAGATGAACATCCACAGCCAGTCAAGTCACATCTGGGCTACCAGTTTGAGCCATGTGATTCTTCACTGATATCTTCACCTAAGTCTGTAATTGTGCAACTGTGTGGTGCACTCATTCAGGAAAACTAAGTAAATGGGTCTTAACCTTGCTAAAACACTGCTTTGCCCACAGTAGGATATGCCTTCTGATCTAGCCCATCATGCAGTCAGAGAGCATAAATGTTACCAAAAAGAGGGGAAACATACAGCTGCAGGTGGAGAATATAGTGAAATTGCAGCAGTCCAAGCTTTAATAAGCTTTAATTTCTGTGGAATCACGCCTTTAGTCACCCAAGCAAACTGTCTTTATTTTTGGTGTTATCATATATTGGTTTTCCTAAGTTTTTAACATGTATATGTACAAGTCAGGAAAAAAGAAAAATCCTGCGTCTTATGCTGGGAAAGTGTTGGGTTTAAACCACTTGTGTCTGCTTGATGCAGGTGTGAGCTGGTCCACCCTTTGGAAAATCAAACTTCCCATTATTAATGTTTGAAATCCAGAATTACTAATGCTAAGTAGAATATTGCATTGCTATGCAGATTGATAAGACTAATTGCACCCAGTAAAAAAGATCCACAAATCTGTAGTAAAGATGTATTTACACACTAGACTCTCCTTGCTCTGCATTCCCTACCAGTCACATCAAAGAGCTGAAAGAACTTTCACACATAAAAGAACAATCTCACAATCACAAGCCTCAGCTGTTTCTTTCGTATCAACTCTTTCAGAATTGACAGAATTACAGATTGATACATAAAATCAGAAAAGTAGTTGAATCAAAAGAGATAGGGAAGAAAAAAGTATTTTCTTGTTGAAGTTCAATATTAAAGACATGGAGGTTCAAGAAGGCTGGTAAGAGAAGTAGCTGGGAAAAAAAAAAAAAAAAAAGAAAAGCCAAACATACTCTAGGTCAATACCTCACTACAGGTGAGTGAATATTTTACAGATTCATGAATTTCTGAAGGCTGTGTAGAGTCATCAGTGACTGTTCAATCAGGTTCTTTTGTACAGTGTAATATGTAGAGGTTTCCCTAGTTGTTCCTACTGCAAGCACATAATTTTTCATTGAATTAGAGCCTGTGTTTAGAAAAGGCCTCTAGGACTGACTCAAGGACTTCAAGCAAAGCAGACCCACTGTGCCTTTAGGATATTGTTCCAGTTGCTTCCCACCCTCAGGGTTAAACATTCATTTTTTCAGATGGAATGTGTTTGGTTTTAACTTGCAAACACTTATGGAAAATTTCTATCAACATGTTTCAAAGTTTTTTCAAAGTTTTAAAATACATTTATACAGAAATTGTCTTCCACTTCCTCTTTAAATGTTGCTTTGGTGGTCAGACACAAGTCTTTCACAGAATCATAGAATCATATATAAATAGAGCTGGAAGGGACCCACAAGAATTATCAAGCACACAACAGCTCTAGCTAGCACTCAAACTAAATACTTAGAAAACAGTGAGAGCTGCCAGGAGTAAGGGAGAGGAGGATCTAGGAAAGTGGAATGCTCTTAGAAGTCAGAAAGTTTCATAGTGCTAATGGAACACTTATAAGCTTACAGAAAGCACTTTGGACAGAGAAATGAACAGTTCTGGTGAGAAGCTTAATACAGGCCCTATCCAAAAGATAGTATCACTCTAGCTGCTGGCTGAACTGTAGCAACACATGACAATTTCGACCCTTTGATGTTTCTGGTACCTGTCCAGCATTCTGCAGTGAAGAACTTTTACTGAAAAGCTTCCCTTGCAAGGTGTCAGCTTAGGGTGGTATCTTTGGCAGGAAAACCTCTGGCAGGAAAATCTGATAGCCTACTTCTGGGCAGCACAGCGACACAATTATTGAAGGTGCAATATTCAGAAATATTTATCCAGCAATTGTACCTTTTGTATGTGTCTTTGATTGGAGTACTGGAAAAGGCTGAAATCTCAGACTTATCTAGCAATGACTTTTAAGTGTGATTTCACAGCATATAATCCACCTGTTCTACCTCTGTTTTTATGGATGCAGCTGAACCACCATTACACCAACAATGACATGTATTACCAAGAGGTCTCTCTATTAGTGTCTCAGAAGAACATCTCCTCTGTATTAGTGTATCAGGAGAACATCTCCTTCAATCTGTGAGCAAATGTTAGGTGGGGAAAATAAATAAAAAATGCAGAGAAGGATCGATGTGTCTTTTCCCTGGATTTTGTGTCCTTCATTTGTGCAAATGATCCAGAAAAAGTTATTGACAGGGAATTAAGTGTATTTTAAGAGCTCTCTAAATGCAAAACCAGTGATTGGTTTGAAAGAAGGTTACAAACAGAATCAAACTGTCATTTGTAGCTCACTGAGGCCCTGCTCTTTGAACCCATTTCCATGAAGGCTGTGTCCACTCTCTTTTTACTTCAGTTTCCTTTACAGGCGCTCACTCTTGGGAGTAGTGAGATAGAGACTGTGACCATCAGCATTGGTTCCCTCAAAGATGTAACCAGGTGAGTCTTTGTAAGAGATCAAGCATCTAACAATACCCTCTGGTGTGTAGCTGGCAGCATAGGTTGTTTCAGCATCTAGCAGAGTGTGATGCTTTGGGCCTAACCAGACGGGTTTATAGGTCTTCATAACTGTGAGTGAATGAAGTGCACAATGGGTCCAGAAGGTAGTCAAGAAATCTACTGGTTTTACCGGGAAAGTTAGCTCCAGAACATGAGTGATAGGTTTTAATTTCTTGCAGAGGCAAGGCTTATATTCTTCCCTCATTACAGAAGAGCTACTGAATGGCTCAGTAGTTTTTTTTATGTGGGCCAAAGGCTGACAGATCTTGGCTGGCTTGCCATTTGGGTGCTTGTAATATGTCTAAGTAGTCGTGCAAAGGTCCATTATGTCCAGAGGAGGAAGATATACATCAGGTTTTCTGGTGAATACAGGAGGGCCCTGTAATTTAAAAAGATTTTCTCTCTGTCAAACTAGTAATCTATCACAAAGCTGCCTAACTCTCTGACCAGTGCCACAGCCACAAGACTGTAGTTTTTTTCCCTTCCTAGCAATCTTGTGCAACTTGCCCTAGAGAGCATTATGGTTACTGGTAGGAAGTTGAAATTAAATAGTCTTGGGGCTAACCCAAGGGGGGTTTTGTTGGTTGGGTTTTTTGGGGTTTTTTTCCCTTCCTTCCAAACCACACTAAGAGTCATGAGGCAAATAAGCTTCCAGCTAACTTTGCACAGGAAGGAAGTCTAGATTTCAAAGTATTACAGAATAAATTATGCAATTAGGTATCAGCGTATTTGAACTCTCCAATCTAAATGGAGTTTGCCCCAGGCACTCCTATTTCTCTGGAGCAAAATGAGATGCCCAGGGACCACTGCACTGGTGAGATGCTGACCTTGTACCCATGCCCAGAGTGTATCATTTTCCTGGAGAAATTGTCCAACAAGGTGAACCATGAGTATATCCGTATACAGATGTCTTATTGCAGCGGATGCATTATTAAAGTATTAAAAAGTGAGAAGTCTATGAGATTCAGCCCATCTCTAAGCAAAGAGTTGTTCAGAGATCTCACATTTCAGATGCCAACCAAGAGTTACCAAAAAGCTTTTTAGGTTCTCCCATCTTTGCTGGAAAACAGTCTATGCATTTTGGATGTAACCACAGCTCTTGCAAAATATTCAGAATATGATAAGCAAGTCCATCTGTCTTCAATTTTTAAAATTTATAAGCTCTACATGTTTGGAGACCTCATGGGCATTATGAATTTATTTTACTTTGTGTAAGCCAGCAGTGCTACTATTCCTTCAAAATATGTTACAATTTTATCATAACTCTAATTCTTATCCCACAGATATTAATAGTTTCCCATGTAGCACAATCTTGAAAACATTAGGGAGTACAGGAGGGAATGGAGGATATGAACCATATGTTGTTGGAGGGTTAGGTACATCTCCCTGTACCCAAGTAAGACTAAATTAAAATTAAATTACAGATCTGCAGATAGAGACAGCTATGTGTGTAGCCTGGAGGAGATGAGAATTTTGAAACCTTAAGTTGCAAAATCATCTGACATGAACTCTGATATGCAATAGCATCATCTTAAACCTACAGTGTCATTTGGGATATGATGTGTTTAGTGGGAAGGAACATGACTATGCAGTTGGAAAGGTAATTTAATACCAATGCAGCACTATTATATATGCTGTTCAAATATTTTAGTTATAATAATTAATTAAATAGAATGATTCAGATTTTCACACTTGAGTAGGTGTGCTGGTTTCAGCTGGGGTAGAGTTAATTTTCTTCACAGTGTCTTGTATGGGGCTGTGTTTTATATTTGTGCTGAACACAAGACCGGTAATATAGAGATGTCTTTTTTATTGCTGAGTAGGGCTTACACAGAGCAAAGACCTTTTCTGCTTTTCACACTGCCATGCTGGAGAAGAAGTTTGGGCTACATGGAAGGTCAGGAGGAGACACAGCTGGGACAAGTGGCCCAAACTGACCAAAGAGATATTCCAGACCATATAACATCATATATATAAAATAAGAGGAAGAAGGAGGAAGTGAAGAATATTGGGACTGATGGTGTTGGCCTTCCCAAGTAACAGTTGCACGTCATGGAGTTCTGCTTTCCTGGCAATGGCTGAACAACTGCCTGTCCATGGGAAGTGGTGAATGAATTCCTTGTTTTATTTTGCTAGTGTGCACAGCTTTTACTTTACCTATTAAATTGTCCTTATCTCAACCCATGAGTTTTCCAGCTTTTACCCTCCCAGTTCTCTCCATGATCCCACTGGTAGGGCAGAAAGTGAGTGGCTGCATGGGGCTTGGTTGATGGCTGGGGTTAAATCACCACAGTAGGGATCTGTAAAACCCAGCAACGCCTAGAGAATAGCACAGTATCCTAGTTAGAGCAGCCAGGACCAGTTCATCACTGGGTGGGTATAACCCAAACTGTGTATTCTAAAATCTCTATGTCATTTCCCAGGAACTATTAACAATAGACCATTTGCAGCAGCTGCCCAGAGCACACCTGACCCCTCAGGCTATAAGCTGGATGTTAAGAAGTCTGTGAGGTAGGAAGATGTTCCTGTCCTCACACCAATGACTCAGGTGTGATAACTTCCCTCCGAGGAGTCATTAGCACCTCCACACCCAGCCTGAGGGGTCATGTCTGCCAATGGGCCATCAAGGATTCCAAAAATACTCCACGACTCATAATCACCCATTGTGGAACTCAGTATCCTGGGCATTCCTGCCCAAACCAGTGTGTTTATAATCTTGGGGTCTTGGAACTTCTGACCCCCACTCACTGGACCCAGGGGAGGACCAGAACCTCGACCGGCCTGCAACCACCACTCTCGACCAGACTGTGACCATCATTCGCACCAAGAGGTTTTCCTTTCCTTTTACTTTGGACTCAGGAGGACCACATGGGGCTCAGCACGGGGGCCAATGAACACCATTCTGTTTGTGCCCCAGGGTGATGGGTTATATATCGGTTTTGTGCATTAAAACCAATTGTTTGTCAGTATAATTGTATTTATTGTATTATTTTTATTAAATTGTAACTCTGACTAATGATCTCTTTTGAGTTGGGTTCATTTCTCCTGCCGGTTTGCCTTTAAACCAGCACACACAGTGAAAACCTGTATGTTTTGTTGAACCTGGGCCTTTAAAGGAAAATTCATTCAGTATGCAGCTTGATCTTTGAGGGGTTTGGACAAAGATTTCCATTTGCAGTGTTCTGAAAAATACTGCAAATTATAACCAAATGTGTTTGTGATATAGAGCTCTGGAGCTACAGCTAAGGTGCTGACCTAAACACCTCTAAAAGACAAAGATATATAACTCGTTCAGATACAAAGATAAGGATAAGTTAAGGAAGTTAAGGATACTGAAACACAGAAAGAAAGATCCTTAGACCACTGGCAGCCAGTCAGGAGAAACAGTCAGTACAGGATCTACTCTAATATTAGTATTGCACTTTGCATCTGGAGTAATGATGCATTGAAGTGGGCAAGAGCCTAAGCCTCTGAATATACTGTATTGCTTATGCATTTTAGCAAATAAACAAGGTTCTCAAAAGTGTATGTAGAGCAAAAAGGAAGAAAATTCACATGCCAATGTATTAGGTATAGGGGCAAAACCAGAAATGCAGAAGCAAAAAATAATCAAGAATATCAAGAGGTGCTTATGTAAGTATCACACAGATTACAGCCCTTTGGCACACTTGTGTCAGCAATTTGAAGCCATTGTGTTTTTTAAAAGGGGTCAAGAAAGAACAAGCAGGAATAGAACTGACATTCAGCATCGTCAGTAGCAAGGAAAGTTCAGTAATGGAAAGAGTCTTTCCCAAGCCACTTACTGAACAATCCCATGTTTGAAACAGTCGAGCCTGTTCCAGAAACAAGTAACAGACCACAGGCAGACAATTCTTCAATAGTGTGATCAAGTATTTTCTGCAGTGGGAGTACCTTTTTCCACTCTGGACTACTGCAATACAATAGAACCTGCAGCAGAGATTACAGAGAGATTGATCTGCTGATAAACTGGTGGTAACTTATATCCAAGACACCACGAAAAGTGGTGCTGCCTGCAACTCTCAGACCTTATCAAGGGATCTTGCAGTTGCAACACTTAGTGAAATGTTACTAGAGAACCCTGGTTATGAATCAGTGTTTCCTTGCCTCACACTCC